ACACACACACACACACACACATATTCATCTTCTCCAAAAGATGAAAAACATCTGGCTCCTCCAACACACTCGTACACATCTGTGATGAACATAATCCTCGTCTGATTATGTTCATCAATAAACAGCTGTGTGAGAAACTATGTGAACAATGTCCACGATAACTTCGACATCTTGATGTGGATCAGACGTCAAATCCAGAATGTTTGTGTTTATCAGGAACTGACAGCGAGCGTCGTCGTGGTAAATGTGAGAAAATACATCTTCAAACCCGCTGAGCTTCACGAGCGGAGACAAAGAAAAGCCACTTACTTTATTTTTGTGTTTTATCCGATGGAAACATCAAAAGCTGCGGAGCCGCCTGGGTTTGGATTCTGGTGGAGTCACTTCATCTTCACACATCTGAAATAAAGAGAAATAAAGTTTGTGTTGATCAAACAAGGATGAAAACAGTTGTACAAAGCACAAACTGAGTTTCTGTGATAAAACAGGAAGTAAAACTCATCTGCTCTTGATTACGTTGTTTATTAAAAATGTCACTTTCGGGGGGGTTTCCTAATTTCATTGTCTTTTGTGTACAGTTGCAAATGAATGTTGACGAGTGTGATCTTATTTTTCGATTGCTGACGTTTTCTAAATGTTTGCTTTCGCTGTTGTCACAATAGATGAAGACGTACTCTGAAATCTCGTACGGTGAAAAGTGGAAAGAGAGACCGCTCGACTGCAGCGGTTTCACCTCGAGCGAATGGACAGAAGGAAACTGAGATCGTAAAAAATACAGTAGAGGTTTGAAACCACTTCTATCTGAACTGTTCCCTTGTTGCTTTGTGTCTGACTCATGGATTTAAGATCGAGGCTCCAATCGTTTGCTATGAACGGCCGAGGGACACTGGGCTGAGTTGGTAAAATGTTTGATCAGCTGAGAGGAAATGAAGAAGGGATCTTTCTCTCCTCCTCTGTTGTTTCCGTCAGACAGAGACAGAGACGTCCATCACTAAACTTCATCCTAATTTCTCCGTTTGTGATTCTCAGTGTCGGGACATGACGAGGAGGAAACAAACAGGAGAGGAAGAGGAGGAAGAGGAGGAAGAGCCGCTCTGGGTTTTTGATTACTCTGTCTCTCTACGGACTTCCCCTTGATTGGCCCTGATGTCGACATCACTTCACCTGAGCCCCAAACAGTCTGTACACACACACACACACACACACACTGAAATACAACACGTGTATATACATTTAACATACACACTGATGTGGAATCGAACGTTGTCTCTCTTTTCTTCTTTCACACAACATTCTGTCTCTACATGTCTCTCCCACTCAGTTTGTGTGAGTTCCTGTTTACTGTGTGTCTCTACGCTCTAAAGGAAACCTCTCATATTTACAAATGTATTTACATAAACTTTACCACCACTTACTTTTCCTCCTTCACTATTTTCAACGATTCATTAGACTGAGTTAGTTTAAGTTGTGCGATGGATGTTGCTGAATAACGTCAAAGTTTGTCCCTAAACAAGATTTACAACTTTCCCTTCACGAGTCAGTGTCAGCTGTCAATCATGAAGTTTCAGCCGTCATCAATTATTCAAACCAAACTTCTCAGAAACATGAACAGACATCAGTGTGGTCAGAACTAACACGGAGGAGGCAGGTTTAATGAGCTATACCGCAGCCCGCCACCAGGGGGAGATCCAGATGATTGGGCTTCACTTTTATGGAGCTGTCACGTCGTCCATCTTTATTTACTGTTATTGAGAAAACATAACGTTAAACTCGGCATGTGTCATTAAAACGACAGATGCTGCTCCGCTTACGGCTTCACCGTCGTTCTGTGGGATCATTTTAAAGAGAACGGGAACTGAACATGACACTTTAGCTACAAACTGAAAACTCTTCTGAGACGACTCCTGACAAACGACGCGAGTTTCATCTGCTCGTGTGCTGCAGACATCACGTTGTTGATTTATGAGACTGATGGATTCAGCAGAACACGGAGGAGAAGATGCTCGGAGCAGACGCAGAAACCCGAGGGTCGTATTTCCGGAAGACCGGGATTCATCGGAAATACTGATGCCCCCCTTCTCTCCAGATGACTTCCACAAACCTCTACCACGGATCCCAGAGCTGTGGACCGAAGTGGAGGACAGTGACTCTGCTTCACCGTGGACTCAAACACGCAAATGTGATAAATTCTGGATAAACAAACAGACCAAAGGAAAACAGAAGCTCCTCGGTGGAGCTAACGATAAATCTGACGAACTCAGTTGCCCCAGTGAGCTCTGATACGATCGCTGCCATCCGACATCGTGACGTCATGTCAGTCTGTGCGGTATCGATCGGTGAGACCCAGATGTTTTGCCTTTACTTTCGGTGAGCTGCCGGCTACGATACGAACGTATGAAGAATTGTGAAATTTCAATCGTCACCAAAGAATAATAACAGTCCTGGAACTTTATTCTATATTCAGACCTGAACTCCAGACCCCCTGTCCACTTCCTGTTACCCTGTGTCTGTATAATGTTGCTTTAATTTCTACGTGTCCGTCCAATAGCCTCGATATGTCTTTGCATTAGTGCAGCGGGAACCTGAGATGTGAAAAGCAGGGGATGCTTATATGTGGCACAGCAGGCTCGACTTCACAAAGCTGCTCAAAGTCAAGACTCCCTGTGGCTCAGGTTTCGGAGAATCTGGCTCCAAACCTGCACGGCTGCCAGAACCGTGGAGGTGCGGAGTCCCAGCTCTTCTCTTTGACGCTGTTCTCACATATTGTACATTACCGCTGCACTCTCTAACTCGTTCTTCTCGTTAACCGGCCGGCTGGACGAGAATTATATAAAGATTTATTCTCGTGTTTTCACTTCTCGTAACTCACCCCGATAGAAAAGTGTGAAAACGTGAAGCTTCTGCACGCTCGTTACAGAGAAAGTGTTTTTCCTCTCGCATGATTGACTTTACTTGGCGTGATGTCGGCCATTGAAAAGGCCCCGTGGTGCGAGTTCAGCCGATCTGGAATTTCACCCAAGTGTGAAATGGAAATTCTTGTTCCGCCTCCTGAGGCCTCGATCGTTTCGCTCTGACAGAACGACACTCGTGGAGGGGGGTGGGAAGGGGGGGGGTATCCCGGCTCAGCGACCACTCATTAAATCCACAGACAACACAATACAACACTTGTCACACGTTTAACTCGACACAGGTCGGTTGTGATTTGTGTTCCAGGGGGAAGCCGGTCTCCAGGTCGTTCGCTCCTCAGCAGGTTGAGGAAAGTTTTGGTCTTTGACAGAATCTGCTCCTATAAAAGGACATTACAAGGTTTTTGTGGATGATTTGAATTTGCTTGTATTTTCAGGTCCTGAGAGACTTTGAATTTATTAATTGTTGTTAGACTTTGAAAATGTTTGTCTTTTGTATCTCAGCTTGATCTCCTTCCTGCCTTTGTCCTGTTTCCTGCTCCTGTGATCGTCGGCTCCACCCTGATGTGTCTCGACCTCCTTGTGTATTTAATCTCTGTGCTCCTCAGGCTCCTCTGTCGGTTCGTCTGCTCGGCTCCTTGATTATTCATTGGTTCATTTCTTGAGTTCTGCACGTTTGCTGAAACATCTTAACAAATAGAAGTCTGTCAGTTTCCCTGACAACGTGAGCTGCCTCTTCCAGAAAGAAATGTTGTTGTTTGATATGAGTTAAAACCTCTGAATAATTTCTCAAAGATGTAAAATATTTCCAAAATAGATCAAACTGGAAGTATATGGAAATTTGGAATTGCAACCAAACTTTTGTTTACCTGCCTAAATAATCTGTTTGTGGTCGTTGCATGATTTACGTATATATCAGGGCAAAATGTAAAGTAAGCTAAAACATAACAGTATACATGTTTTCTGCATGAAAGTCCGCTCCCACATCCACGCGGTGTATTTTCAGCCTCGCTGCATGAAGGGTTCTGTACTTATACAAGATAAATATCATCGGAAAATACCGTATGTATCCATTATACTATACTTTCCTGTGTTAGCAGGAGATGTTAGTATCAGACTGTTTCATCGTATGATTTTAAAGAACCTAACAGAGACCCAGCATCAGTAGAACAGACTGAGTTCAGCTCAGGCGTGTTGAGTTTAACGTCTCATGAGAGAGAAGATTATCTTCTATCAGTCGTGAACAGCAGAAGCTTCAGAACCTCGAACAGGGACCAGGACACATGTTGTGACATGATAAGAAGACATACACTACACACACACACTACACACACACACACACACACAGAGGGACAAGCAGTACAGCTATAGATTGTGTCTGGTGTGTTTTAACACACGCTGCCGACACGTCAGGGTTTGACCTTTGACCCTGGGAGGTGTCCCGTGCCGACAGAGGTGAAGTGTTTCAGTGTTGCAGCATCGGTCGGTTAATGGCACATCGGCCTCGTGGGGCTTGTACATCACTGTGGAGCCTGGATGAACTCTGTGTGTGTGTGTGTGTGTGTGTGTGTATGTGTGTGTGTGTGTGTGTGTGTGTCTTACTCAAACACTGAAAACAACAGTAACTTTTCAGTTTCAGATTTAACATAAAACAATATTAAATAAAACATTTAACAAGTGGTTCTTCAATGTTTTTGCTTGTGATCATCTCATCTAATCTCATTTTCAGTACATATTCAAACTGAAACACTCAGCACGCTGTACTTAATTACGTTAAACTACTGGAAAACTCTGTTTTCACTGTGAAAGAATAACGTACTTACAAAATCGTAAATTACCGTTAAATTGAAAGGATACTCTGGAAAAAGATTTTTTAAACTGTGTCTGTCTGAGGTGGATGAAAACATTCGGCCTGTTAAATAACCAAAACACTGCATATGTCTGGGATCATGAATAGAGAGCAGCTTATTTTTTTTTTATAGACTTTCTTTGCATTCTGTGTTTATGAGGCAGCACGGTGCAGCAGATCACCACAGGAAACATGTTAGAGAGCAGACAGGCCTTAGAAAAATAAAAATCCACAATGTGCCAACTGTGTGTGTGAAAGCTCAGGAGACCCTGAACGTTACCTACGACACATTAAAATGATTTTCACATCACTTTCTCAGACTCAGGTTCAGAGAAACGAAACGTGACGTCAGGTTTTAGCTGAGAACTCGTCTGTCGTCCTGTTGAATTGAATCTTCTGGTCCCCTGATCGACTGACTTGTTTTCTGCAGCTGTCGACGGTTTGAGTCATTACATCCTCCAGACACAGTTTATTGGCAGCGCGGCCACAACTGCAGCTTTGTTAGCGGTGACCCATAATGTGGCCGTAATAGTCTGGGATCACCGTGTCACTGTGTCACACACATTTGAAGGGTTTTTAAATAGTCAAAATTCCTGCTCCAGCTGTGCATGGAGGTAAAACATCTGGCTGTTGATGTCTGGATA